GAGAGGAGAGGAGAGGAGAGGAGAGGAGAGGAGAGGAGACAGAAGAGGAGAGAGGAGAGAGGAGAGAGGAGAGGAGAGGAGAGGAGATAGAAGAGGAGAGAGGAGAGAGGAGAGGAGAGAGGAGAGGAGAGGAGAGGAGAGACAAAACAAAATGCAGACACAGTCTTGAAATCAGGCCTGATGTGAGCTGACATCAGCCGACATGCAGACGTTTCACACTCATGCGTAACAATGAAGTCACACAAACAAACAACCATGAAGCAACAGAAGCTGCCGTCCCGGCGCTGCTCGGTGTGAGGCAGCAGCTGGAAATGCATTCCTCATCGGAGCAATGATTGGTAGGTGAGCTGTCTCAGTCAAAGCTTGGATCAACTCAGGGCCTTTGCATTTGCGTCATGTGTGTTTGTGGTGAGAAAACTTCTGACACTTCTGGATGGCATTTAAAAAAAATAAATTTATGATGACGACAGTCCTGAGATCCGCCAGCGGGGAGACGACTGTCGGTCAGTGCCGCATTGAATGCAGCACCACCATGATATGATTCAGGTTTCACCAAACACAAACGGTGCACGGGTTAATCAGGAATCATGTGACATCCTGTCAGTGACTGTGACTAGTCAGGATGTCACCACGTTATCAAGAGCAGGACCACTGTTACGCATGTGTAGCTGTGCTTTTGTGATTCTTCCATCAACTGGAGCAGAAAGAAAAGCATCACTTCATGCGTCAGTCGCAGCTGAAATGAGGAAACCTTGAGGTTGAGGATCATCACAGGTGCAGGAGAAGGGTCTGACCCTCACCACCCAGAGCAGAAACAGCAGCTCTACAGTGGAAAAGGCCACCGTGTCCAAACCTGGAGACGGTGACTCATGTCAGGAGCACATCAGGAGCATAGTACTTGGTTTTTTCAACATCTCATCTCATCTGAAATCAATCCCCCAGAGTCGGACTATCAAGGTAGAGTTCTGCTGTGACTTTCTGAAGGAAAACGTTCAACACAAATGACCTGAACGGTGGAGTGATGGAACGCGAGACATCACCTGCCCTGCTCATCACATTCGCTCTGTGACTTTTTCCTCTTCTCCAAAAGGAAACTCAAGTTGAAGTGTCGATATTTAGACGCACTTTGAGAGATTCAGGGCAGATGGAGCTTGACACGGTCACATAATTGTGGAGTTACAAGCGTTGCAGAAGTGCTGCACAAGGAGGGACCTCGACAGCAGCCAAATTTAAATCAGGTACGGTGTCTGTTTTTTTTTACAGCTACAGTCTTTGATCAACCCTTGTACATCGAGAAGCCATCACACATCTACACCATCAATGCTATAAAGGATAAAGTGTGACAGCATGCAGGAGAGGCTTTTCAGGTGGACAAGAAGAGCAGCGCAAAGGGAGAACCGAGGAGGAAGAGGTGGAGATGACAAGTCTGGAAAAAGGGGGCGTATTGGGTCACAGAGAAGGAAAAGTCCTCCAGCATAGAAGAGAAGGCCAAACATTCAGGGTCAAACACCCGTCTTACCTAAAAAATGCATTCCTGTTTTGGTTTATTATCCTTATGCAAACTGCTGTTTCATTATAAACTGCGAACAACGTGTGCCGCACTCTAATCAGTTCTTAGAGGTGATCTCAGGAGCATAAACCCATTTCATTCCTACTTTTAGTTTTAAGCATGTGCATTATCTTGTAATACTGAAGAGCTCTGAGTCAAAACTACAAGCAGAAGTGCTGCCTCTGCTCCAAAAGTGTGCCCTGACAGATCTGGAGCAGCATTCCTGGAGTAGCTCAGATGGAGCTGGAACACCCTGCTTCACTACCTTTCCAGACTCAGGGTTAGTCCATCCATCAATCAAGCAGTGTGACCGACGCTGTGTCGTGTGCCTGGCATGTTCTGTCGATGAAACATGACTTTGGGCGTATGCTGTCACTTCTTTATGGCATATGTGCAGCTGAATCTGTCAGCCCTCACCAGGTGCTGCTGTTGCCAACATGTGAAATGCATCACATGTGGTTTACTGGGGAACAACACCTGCCTACATTACACCTGACTGCTGTCTGAATTAACACGTTTTATAAATTGGGCACCACTGCGTCACAGATTCATACTTTAGTGAGGTGAAGGAGACTTGAATCCACCAAAGAAACAGCATGAACTCAAGGGGAAGAGCAAACAGAGGGGTGAAAATGTCAGTAGAAAAAGGGAGGGAAAAGGAGAGAGTGGGCAAACGCATAAACAGCATGCTCACCATGTACTGGACAGTAGAGCTGGACTTGCGTTTCTGTCCTCAAGGAATTGATGGATGGGTTTATTGATGGATGGGCAGATGGTAGAAGATTAGATGGTTGGGGAGAACATAAAGCAACCAAAGACAACAAGTGAATGCACAGGCACAAAGAACAGAACAGAACTCGTCAGTCTCAATGAAAAAGTTGTACAGTTTGATGACAGTGCAGGTTTCAGTCCTGAAGACGTTTCCAGACAGCCTGGACAAAGCAGAAGAAGAAGCAGCTCCGTCGTCGAAATAAGACGTCAAAGTTGTTGCAAAAGTGGGGCGGTGCAAGCAAAGAGGAGGTTTAAGTGGGAGAGAACGCAAGAGTTGGTCAGACGGCAACACTGATCTGCTGTGCTGCTGTCAACACATGAAGAGCTTTTGGGATGGAGCCATAGCAGCAGAGCAAGACAGGAAATGCAACATTTATTCTGCCAGAACACCAGCACATTCTCCCCTATTTCACTTTAACTTTCATGACTGCATGAATACTTTTGTTGGTGCATGTCGCACTCATACATCAATAATTGAGGAGCTTAATAATGAATACAGCCAATACAGCCTCTGTGTCACATTCTTGTGAATTCAGGCCTGATGGTAGCAGCATATCGCAGAACAATAGACAGTGTGTGATATTATGATGAGGATGCTCCTCAGTGGAGGTGTTCACGGCAGCACATGAGGCTGAAGGTGGTGAGTAACTACAGGTGTCTGCTTGCGCTGGGCAGGTGCTACAGCTGGAACACGGCAGGTGCCATGAAGCATTAATGAACCAGCTGGAGAGAAAAGGGGGAGAAGAAGAAGGTGAGGACAGGAGGTCAGAGTCACGGCGAGAACCAAAGGGCACGTGGAGGGAAGAAAACGAAGGAGAAACAAGAGAGGAGGGAAGAAAGGAGGAAAAGCAGGGACGGCAGCGAACGGAGAAGACGAAGAAGAAGACGCCTTTAGAAACGGTTTGGGGCGAGTGTGTGGGGAGCCTGTTGCTAGGCGATGAGCGCGCCGCAGTGGAAGTAAGCGTCTATTTCTGTCGTCTGAGTTTCCAGGGTCCAGACTGGCAGCTATTCCTGGAACCGGAGTCACATTCCCTGCTGAACCGACTGAGCAGGGAGGGAGGGGGCGCACACACAATCTCATGCACGCACACACACACAGCTGCACGTGCACGTAAGCGTACCACACACGAGGACACCCACGGTTACACACTCTGAGCAGCACGCTCACACCCCCATGTGCGCTTTCAGTCTTTTTTCAAGCTGACAAACAAACGCGCGACATTCACACAAACATATTCAGGAACCTGCATGTCCACGTGCATGTGCGCAAAGCTCTGCCTAACACAATGCAGAATGCTGAGAAGCATGAACACCACGTTCCTCGCTTTGTCGCACAGATAATGCATGCACGCTGCACACACGGACACATCCGTGGAAGCTGTGTGTGGGATGTGTTTCTGCGAGCGAGCGAGCGTGGGACGGCGAGAGATCTTCATTAAAGGATGAGCAGGAATGTGGGGTTAAAGACCAGATGGGGTGAGCAGGAAAAGGAAGCACTGAAAGAGGAGGGAGAAATGAAGGGATGAGAGGGAGAGGAAGCGATGAAAAAAAGACAAATAAAAGGGCGAGCTGACAGATGGTTACGTTCAATAATGGAGACGAGAGGTGGCGATGAGCTGAATAATGCCAACGCCAACAAAGGCTGCTTTCAGGAAGATGTGCTGCTTGAGGCGTGTGCAGTGGCCAGCGACATGCAGGCTGATACAAACGCACACAGACAGATACCAGGCACGTGTATCCAGAACAGGGCTGCTGCTTTTTACCAATATTTACTGAGAATATCTTTGATTTACAAACGGGTGTGCCAAACTTCTGAGAAAAAGCCAGCAGGCATCGTTGAGATACACACTCTGATAACAAAACCACGACTTCCACACATACCACAAGAAAGGAAACACGCATGGAGATGAAGACATGCATGACATGTATGACACGAGACGAGTGACAGAATGCTTCAGCAGAAGAAAAAAGTAGTTCAGCCAGATTAGAAAAGAAACAAACATCAGAGCAGGAAAGTGAGCAGAGAGAAAAAGGAGAGAGAGACCAAGAAAATCTGAGCGAGGAGTGAAGAGAAGGGCAGAGAGGGGACAGGATGATGAGCCTTACCTTGACATCTGCCTTTTTGTTGAGCAAAGTCTTGGCTGCTGCAGTGACAAACACAGGAGAGGAACACCCAGTTAGAGGTGCAGTGAGCAGCACTGACTCAGTGTTTTCTGCAACATCTTTAACCTACATTAAAGCCTTCAGAGATTACACTGATTTGACTTTGGGAAATGCTCTTCTTTATTACCCTCTGTAGTAAGACTGTCTTTTTTGGAAAGTAATGATCAGGTAAGGGAGCCTGAGGCTGAAAGAGAAAGGGCACCTTAGCAGCCTGCACTTCAGCGTTCTACAGCTGCAGCAAAGTGCCGGTTTGAGCTGAGCAGCCGAGCCGTCTCCACAACGCACCAGATTCTAGGAACGGCTGCTGCACGAGTAACGGCTTTATCAACTTCTTTTCTTTCAAAAACTTGTTGTACTTCCAATTAAGCTGTACTCCCATTGGCAAGATTGGATTGACTAAAGCTTGTGTTGGACTTTTGTTCCAGTGCTTGAACAGAACATAAAGCTTCATCTGAGGCGGCACCGCCCGTTGTCACTGGACCTACTCGACGGGTCTACATGCTTTTAAAGGTCTGACAATGTACAGTTTGGGTTCCAAGGTATTCAATGCTAACTGGTGGACTAGCAATTATTCCAGTGATGTCTCAAAAAAAACAAATATTCATCATCTTGCTTGTTTCTCAGATTTGTCTTCAGGATCCCTAACCCTCAGCAGAATGGCTGTCGTCATCACCCCATGCTTTAGTTTTTAGCATACAAAGATGTCAGTAAAATAAAAATGTACTGTTCCACATCAGCTGTTTCACCAAAGTACCCCTGTGGCCGCGAGGAAGACGAAACAAAGATGGCTGCCTCGCACGGCAGCCATCTAAACCCAACAATAAGCCCTGCCTTAAAGAACTTAAAGGCCTTAAGGAGGATTAGTCTTCAGTCTGCTCTCTAATGAAGGGTAATGAGGGAGGACGGCAGGAGAGGAAGAATGATACTGTAGACAAAGTCCTCTGATGAGCGTAGTACTCATAATCCCTTACAACAGTGGAAAGTGCGTGCAGACAACAGTCCGCAGGGCTTTTACCGTGACTGCACTGCTGAAGCACGATAGCGAGGTGGTCTGATCGCATTAGATAGATACATGTTCACCCAGAGGGTCCCAAAATCACAGCCAGACTCTCTGTGAAGTCGGTGGAGGCTGTAGGGAGGTAGACGGAGGATTAACGCTAGCAAGGCGCCAGATGTTGACGAGATTGGACGTGCAAACGAGTGTATTTTTACCGCTTAAAAGTCGGTACCGAAATGCACTCGCAGACCTGTCAGTGTCGTACAAGTCTTAACCGTCAACACGGGCAGACGAGAAAAGGCTTCTGGCATACGCTCAGCAGTGAGTTTACAAGTCACAGCCTGGTGGATGAGCTTCTGACTACTATGCATGTCCATTCTTACTTTGTTCATCTTAGGGTTAGGGTTAGCCGAACCCTAACCCTCCTTCCTACCCCAAACTGCTTTGTCATCGGACACAGCAGGGGACGTTATCGAGACAGATTTAAAAAACCTAACCCTTTGTTCTGAGACTGTACAACTTTACTGACTTTTTTCAAAACGTTTAGTCTTTGTGATGTTCAGAGCAGACGAAGGTTCTGCAGGAAGAGAGAAGAACGACTGGAGCGTGTCAGAGAACGCTCAGACGGTTCCACAGGTAACGTTCCAGCAGTCTTTATGCACACTTGAAGAAAAAAACATCATGTTTTACCTTCAGTCAGTATTTTTCTGATAACTGTAGGCAGCTTCCCACTACAGCAACTTACAGCCTCGATCTGCCCTTTCAGGCTTTCTGCTTTCATTGTGGTGGAGGATCTGATGGCTTTGACCGCAACGGGTGCAGCAAAGCAACGACCAGCAGTCGCTACTAGACGCAACTCCAGTTCCATGAGCACAGGAAGTAGAACAGCGGGCAGTTTGGTATGTTGCCCATACGGTGAATTTTTACGTTGTTGATGGCGGTGTTAGAAAGAAGGCGACTGTAATTATCCTCTGTGAGTTTAACCAATCGACGTAATGCCTCAGTTCTTGTGGCTGGAACAAACCCAAAGGTCTGGATGAACCTCAAACTGCCCACAAGTTCCTGCACTGGAAAACTGCCTGATAACTTTGCATGTAATTACAGAATACTGTTTCTAAAAGCTCAAATATTGGTGCTTAAACTGGAAATTTGCCATGCAAGAGTTTTATAATTTACGTCAATAGATGTGGTTGTTTAACGTCAGGTTAACAAATGAGATGATTTGACGTAAATGGAAGACATCCTATGGGAATAGATGTCTACATTATGAATGAACAACATTAATCTGTCTGTTCTTTTGTGGTGTCGCTACATCATCATAAATAATCTACCAAAATCCATCTGGGGAGAAGCTGGCGCCCATCACCTGCCAGTTTGACTCCTCTACTTCCTGCTCCCATAGATGTAATCCTTGCTGGGACCTTTTAGGGAGCTGAGTGCAATTTCAGGTCTAATCAGATGCAATCACATCAGCATCCAGCCACGTTACATAAAACACTATTTCTGGCTGTCTGGGATTTTCTTTCTTTCTTTTTCTTTCCCTTCTTTCTCTCTGTCTCTCCTCTCTCTCTGAACATCTAGCTCCAGTCTGTTTTTCTCACTTCCAACCATGTTCCAAGCCGGTTCTGTTGAAAATTCAACAGAACCGGCTTGGATTTGGAGGGAGGTCCAGCCGTGAGGAGACCAGCTCAAAGCGCAGTGGACACACTTGACCACATCTGCAACAAAGATCAAGCTAGAAAAACACAAGGAGGACAGGATGTGCACAACACACCACCGTTTGTCCTCGTTCTTCTTTTGTTCATTCTACTTGTGATGCTTGAAGTGAGGATTGCATATTCAGCAGTCAAGAAGTGTGGGATGTGAGCGTGGCATGAATGTGCATGGTTCATTGTTGTGCTGTTCTTCCTCAGTCTCCTTCCAAAGGCTGGTTGTTACTGAAGAGGAGAAATGGGGTCAGAATAGTGTCAGGTTCATTCTCTCATATTCTCTGACGGCCTGGACGAGAGGATATGAGAGCAGAGAGGAAGAGGAAGAAGATGAGGGTGTTTCACTCTGCTTTCCAAACATTATTTCGTCAAATTCGCAAAGTGGATATTCAAAAAACAAAACAAAGCAGGAAAAAAAACCCTGAGTGTTGCTAAAAATGGCTTTAATTTCCGGGCATGGCGATGAAATCTCTGTGAAAACCTGGAAGTCAAAGGTATCTTAGTTCAATCAGTCTGAAGGTGTAGAAGCAAGCGGCGCTCCTTACCTTGCCACAAATTACACATGAAGCAAGAAGAGAGAGGAGGAAGAGATTAAAACAAAGACATCACTGATAAACTCCCACCAGAAACACACAAGATGCACCACTGCAAGAACAAAGCAAGGATGGGCGTCGCTTCATATGGACAGTCAGCGGCAGAATGGAATAAGCTATTGGTGGGGCAGCTGCAACTCTGTCTGCACGTAGCATGTTGAAGGCCAAGTCCTGTACTCCTGCATGAGGTCTGGTAGATGCAGACTGCATCTGTATGGAAATAGAAGCTAGAACAAGGTCTCCTGTAAGCCAGTGAGGCTCAGTGAGGCTGACATGGGGAGGCAGCCCACTATTCATATTTGATTGGAGCCTGGTGGAGGCTGAGGGACACAGAGAGGACTGTGGAGTCCCAGTGGGCCACAGAAACAAGGACACAGTCACTACTTCTGTCTCCTTAGCTCAGACTGGCATGTCAAGGTCTTTGCCTGCAGTTCACATAGTTGAAAATACTGCACACAAGTCACAGTGATAAGGAACTAAAAAGAGGTCCAGTGGTTCCAAAGAGCAAAAATCTGGGTGACTAACAGGTCTCTGAAGGAAGGTTATGAAGCTTAAATTTCAGTTTGGCAGCTTTAATAACCTAAATAAAGGATGAAACAAGCTAGAGACTTTTTTTAAGTGGTAACTGAAGGAAGAGCTGCTGGAGGCAAGTGATGATTGGATTTACCTTGTGAGGTGGGAAAAATTAACCATCTCAACTCCGAAACTCCAGTTTGTAAGATTGATGTCTAAAGCTGCAAAATTACAGTTAAATAGAGGCAGAGACTGTAAAACCCATCCCATTCTAACTTCTGATGAATTGCTCATCAAGAAACTTGAGCTTAAAATCGAGATGTTTCATCCAGATCATATCTTCTGTCTCATCAAAAAGCCACCATTTGTTTTTTACAGTATTAGTGACATCTGCAGAAAATGCATACATGTCAATTCCAGCCTCTTTACATTTTGTATAATAAATAATCAAAGATCTTGAACTTTTTTAGGACTTGCGGCTGTTTAACTGACACTGTGGAGTTCTCTCTACTTCTTGGTACAGAGGGTTCAGACTCTGTGGGGTTCCTATGTTTCCTTTGAGGGTTTTTTTGTCTGTGTTCAGACAGAAGGTGAAGTAAATGTGAGCATTTTTACTGTTTTGACTGCTGGACTGTGAGCACGCTTTGTGACAATTTGCCTCCAGCAGCGTCAGGACTGGACGTGCAGACCAACAGACGCTGGCCTCAGCATTCAGGCTTTGCAAACGCTGAAAATGTTTCATCTCTCACAGACACTTCTTTGTCTCAATGTGCCACTTTGAGCAAATTCAGCTGGAACCACATGTTCCCACTGATCTCACAGTCCCAAACATTCGCCTCACATTCTGTCTGACCACAGAAACAAGACAATGAGATTTTACATGTTAAGAGCCAGTTGATGTTTGAACCACTGACTCTATCCTGTGGACATACATACATATAACATATATATATATATATAAATAATATCACTACAGTATGTGGGCTACATAAAAGCTACACCTCAGCTGACAGCACTGTGTGACGTACCCTCAATGCAAGAAATTTAAAAAATAAGAAAGCTACAGCTTCAAAGGTTATTGACTTTGTGATAATCAGCCCAGCCTTGCATCATTTACAGTGTTCATCATCATTCACCAAAACTCCCTCGTGCTGCAGCGCATGCACCAGTCCAGTGCCCCATGCAGCATTCACCGACAGCTCTCGGGCAGTTCCATCCTTAAAGTTACAGGGGTGAACTTTCCAGTGTCATTGTCAGACAGAGAAAAGAAGAGCGAAGGAGAGAGAAGTGAGGGGGAAAGGGAAGATTTGAAATTGTGATGGAGACAGAAAAAGTGGAGGTGATACGAGTGAAGTAGAAAAGTAACGGAGAGACAACGACGACAACCAGAGAGGTAGAAATGTCAGATTACAGGAAAGGGAATGGGCTGGCAGAGGTGAGTGGTAATAACGTGACACAACTGAGATGGCTTGAAAAGAGTGAGGAGAAAAAGAGAGACAGCGAGAGAGAGACAGGACAGCAGTGAGCGGACCACGGCCATGCTGTGGTGAAGATGACGGGATGAACACGGGTCTGTGGCCATGACAGAGCAGTGATAGGCGCTGGAGTCACCCTGCCAGAGCTCAGACAGGAAGTGACAGATGTGCTGACATGGACAGCAGTAGCTCGGCTTCCGTCCTTTATGTCCTCTACAAATTAGACAGCGTCAGCGCAGAACGGGCAGAATGAAACCGAAATACTCAGGAAGAGTTTTGGATTTGTTTTGCTCAATAGACACGTAGATAGATAGAAGATAGACACGTTTAGCAAAAACAAAAGCAGAGGCGCACTCATTATGGATTTGAAGGGAAGCAGGTTGAAATTATGGCTTTACCTTGTTGCTAAAATTACATTTCAGTTTCTTGAAAAGCCAAAAATGTTGTCATGTTCATTAAACGAATGCCTTTCTAGAAAATCCATAACATCACACTTAACGCTGTTCACAACAGTCGAATCGAACTTTTCTGGCGTTAACCAACCAAAAGGTGGCGCGAAACCTGCTAAAGAGTGAGAAGGAAGCATCGCTAGTGCTGCTGGGTATGTGGGAGATGGGTTAGCAATGTGCTCAGCCATCATGCTCTGAACTCCCATGCTCAGGAAGGAGTGAGGGGCAGCAGAGAGAAGTGAGAGAAGAAGGGGCAGAAGAAGTTCAGAGACAGGCAGAGAGAGGGGCAAGTGAGAGGGGTGGCATGCCCTGGGTGAGCCACCGTGCTACCTTGTTCCACCAGCCCTGCGGTGGTGCCGGCGGCTGCAGCCACTGCTGCCGCGGCCGCCGTGACTGAGGCTGGAGCGGTGGTCTGCCTGCTGCCCACTGGTGAACAGTCCAATACCAGTCACACATGAAGAGGGAGAGTTACAGAGCGAGGAGGAAAGGAAGGGCACAAGGAGGTGATACAGGAACACGGGGGTAAAAAGGTGGAGGAAGGTGGCATTTAGTCAGAAAAGGACAGGAGGTGAGGTGGAGGGGGAGAGTCAGGTGGGCGGGGACAAGGAAAGAAAAGGTGAGACAGAGAGGCGGAGACCAACAGGGCTCATTAGTTCAGAGAAGGACGATTAACTCATACAGGGTTTGGTTGTGACACAAAATCTGTCCAATGGGAATCCGCTGCTCTGACAGGAGGGTGATCAGAGAGAAATGTCAGCTTCACTCTGATCTGAGGCTCTTTAAAGCTTGCAATGTGTCTCGTTGAATACCTGAGAAGAGCGTTCACGTTAGGATGGAGGTGGTGATGAAGAGGCAGAATGCAGCCAGCGTCAGTAAACGTCAGGCCTGAAATGATCGCTGACGTTGGGAGCTGCCAGTTTGAATTTAGAGGCGGCAGCAGAATCGATCTACCGCAGTTCAGTGGATCTGGAGGAAGTGGAAACAGCTCTGGCTTTAGACATTACGATGACTTTACATGATACGACTTGACGACACCACGCCAACATGTGGTAGGAAACAGAACTGCCTCAGCACCGAAGCACTGATCTCAAGAGGCCGGTCTTTGCACATCTGTGAGTATGCCACATTTAAAGATAAATTTCATCATCTCTCCAAGTCCACAAGAACCTAGCAGCAAAATGCTGGGATGTGGATGCTGGGGTTAGGGTTAGCATGTCGGAGCGTGCTGTGCACTAGAGGGGAATAAATTAACATCTAAAAGTCAATGATGTCCACAGCTGCTGGTGTGCGCCTCTGCAAGGGACGATAATCAAGTTTCAAAGGCCAATTCAGAGTTTCTTTGTCCACAAAGGCCCATGTTCTTGTGACCACGCAGACGGTACCAGATGCTCATGAGGAGATTCTCTGTCGTCCACACCTTTAAAATTCATCATGTAAAGAGTTGGAATTTAAGCAGCTGCTGCTGGACTTTGGAGGCGCCTCGATCTGAACACGCTTTCCACTGATGACGCCCAAACACAGCGGGAAGCTCTCAGTCCTCCAGAAAGCTGTGCTGTGGGCCGACTGCACTCAGCGCAGCTCAGGAATGACGGCACCGACACGGTGCTGCGGTCCATTCTCTAACGAGCTGCCTGGTCCTGCTACAGCCTTTCACCAACATCCACAGGGGCCCTGTGAGTTTCCAGTGTTCAGCATGAGGGGCAAAGCACCTGTTGTAGTGTCAATAGAACCACGTGAACGTCCGTTTTCTGCTTTTAAAGTCCGCATTGGTCAGCGCGCGGGGATGCCGAAGCCCATGAACTGGCCTTGACACATGATTCACAGGAAGCTGAGAGCATGTGCGTAACCCATCACATAAAGCGCAGATGTAATGTGCCGGAGCTGTTTCACTAAAAGCCTGCCTCCTATTCTTTTAGTTCTGGCTCATTCTGCCTCTGACTCATTCACCTGATGACCTCACACTTGTACTGGAGTGCTGCTCCTCGTGCGAGGAGACAGAGCGAGGAGAGAGGTGACACGCCAGACCACAGCAGCGGTGGTCAGCGTGGGAGTTAAAGGGCGGCGTGGCTGCTGCGTGGACCTTCACACGCTTCCCATCGTGAAGCTGACGGCGTCAGAACAGCTGCTGTGGGTCGTGTTCATGGAAGCAGCACGCACACACACACATCTTAATATACTGAACACACACATACTGTACATGACACAGACTCTGTGGTTGTTGTTTCATTAAAAGAAAACTGAATTCTTCCTGCCTGGAAGTACATCAACCTTCAAACTTCATGAATTGGCTTCTTTCAGGCCTGGATGCACCGAAATGTTCTCGTTCGCAAATTCTTGTGACACAGAAAATGGAAAAATAATCCTGACCGATACTTCTCTGAGCCTAAAATATCTGCCTTGGTTCATACGAGGACGTTACTGTCAGTGCTGATATTCTGTTCTGTTTTTTGCCAACAAGTGGGAAAGAAATGCTGTTTTGTGCCCACAAACTTTCTCCGTTCTTAATTAAAAAAAGAATGATTCAGATGTAGAAATGTATATTTATTCCTGTTTCTATCCAAGCTGGCACCATTTCTTTCATACTTTGTGGGACACAACCATCTAAACCGTGCAGAACATCCTGGCACGTGGACTTTATTTAGTCTTTTTTGCAGTCAAACACCTGTTCAGTGACGGGACAGTCCTAATGATGAGCCACTTCTGCAGAGTTTTGGATCTCTGTCTTTAAATTAGGTGAAAGAAAAAAGAGGTACAGTTCACAACTTTCAAATTAATTTGTGAGCGTTCAGGAGGCAGGTGGAGGTGTGTAACAGCTACAGCTGACTGCTAGTCTTAGCTCTGATTTAACATCAATGTCCAAGAGAGTCATCTATGACAGAGACACAGAGAAACACAGAGACGAGTACGAAGACAAGAACACGTCGACAGCTTGCGGATCAAATTCAGTGTTTCCCCACATTTCATCGGCAGTTCAGCTTGGTGCAAAGACACGAGTCTACAGCGACTAGATTAGCACTGAAACACTTGTAGTTAAGTTCAAAAGGTCTTCAGGGTTAGATGTGACATCTACACGGTGAGGAAATAATCCGTTTACTGTGAGCGTAGAACTTTCAGCTCAGCTCATAACGATACGAGAGCAGAGAAGAACGATTTGTGTTGGAAGGAAGCTCAGCCTTACCAACAAATGCAACTGTTGTTTTGTGCTAGAAACGTATGAAAGTTTGTGCAACGTCAAAAAATGCTGCAAATTACATTTACTTGAGCTGCATTACATGTGTCCGAGTGTTATTACCACGGTAACACAAACTACATGCAGAAGAAACGATCATGAAAACACTGAAGTTGCACTGAGATGAAATGAAAAGCATGCTGTGTAGACTTTATGTGAAAACATGGCACCATGTTGGCAGCACAGGAAATCCAACGTGTCACTGTGTCTATTTTCACTTTCTTTCTGAAAAAGAAGCCAAGTGTTCGTGCTGACAGAGGGTCGTAGTGCAGGGATCAGAGATTCATGGCAGCGTTTTAGGTGAAGGGCCACTTCCAGTGATCCTCCAACAAGGGGGCATGCTGCAAACACACTTCTGCACTTATGTTCAGTATGTGTAGAAAGCCAGACAAGAAAGTCTCTCATTCAGCAAGTTTTTATCAACTGTACATTGACTGATGCTCAGATTTGGATCGAATATTTACAGGAAATTAGAATTCAAGAATTACGTCCAAGCAACACTTACCAGAGAAATTTCTAGAAACCAGCATGGTGGTGAGAATGGCCCCCTGACAGGAGAAGAACAGAGAAGGTAAGTATCTGAACCACTGATATGCTCATTTTGACACGCGTGTTGTTATCCTCCGCCGCTGACTGGTGCACGGCCGTCACGGTTCCACCAACGTTCACGCTTTTAAATTAAAACACAGATGGATATGTATCAGAGCAACAAAACAGATAAGACACAGAAACAGATTAAAAACGCAAGCAGAAAACACAGATTTATAGTTTTCTGCTTTCAGTAGCATCAGTGGCCGACTGGAATCTGTTGTTCACCACGATTCTATTTATTTCAGCTTTTTAAAGTAAATGATGAAAGAAATTCAACTTTTTTATTTTAAATGATTGTTTATGGCATTCTAACTTATCTTATTATCACATCTTTGAGCTTTCTCTCCTTCTACTCACAGAGCTGCAGGACTTCATGCTGCACTGACAAATGAGCCCAGAAACGGGTTCATCAGGAGGCTACCAGCGCGACAAACAGACTACTAATGACCCTGATTTGTGAAATTGAGGAACAGAAACGTTCCATTACAAGACGAATGGACTCTAAGTTGGGTGGAATCATCAATACCAGCCAGACTGAGACAGAGAGCAAGGCAGGACTGGGCCAACCATTTTAAAAGAAGCAGAATACGTGAAGGTTTGAGAGGTGGAACGACTGAAACACACCGAGTCGTAGTCGTTGTAGTCAGCAGACCTTTGCCTCCTACACTGATTCCACATTTTTAGAAGTGTTGGTTACAACTGGGCTCTGAGAGAATTAACCAGGAACAAACGGCAGACCACAGCGAGAGACACGAGGAGGACGTTTCCATCAGAGCCCAGCGGGGCTGTGAACAATGTGAAGGTACAATGGATCAGTCACACAAAGCGCTGCAGAGACAAAAAAGGAATGAACAATGACTCAAGCAGCTCATCTTGACACTCTTTTCTCTGGAGAGCTGATAACTTTTTATAAGGCTATATAAATGGAACTGAACTGCAAACAGAACATGGGATGTAAGAGCTCCGTCTGACATGTGAACAGATGAAGCATCCCTCTGTAGCCACGTGAAGCTCATGCTCGGCCTCTGGCCGACTCCCTCATAAAGTCAAGCCTTTTAATAATTAACATCCATCCATCATCTCTACACCTTCATCCTCACCAGGGTCATGGGGGGCGGAGCCTATCCCAGCTGACTCAGGGTGAAGGCAGGTTCACCTGGACAGGTAACCAGTCTATCACAGGGCTACACTTAGAGACAGACAACCAAGCACACTCACATTCACACCTACGGACAATTTACAATCACCAATTAACCTCAGCATGTTTCTGGACTGTGGGAGGAAGCCGGAGAACCCGGAGAGAACCCACGCTGCACGGGGAGAACATGGAGACTCCACGCAGGAAGATCCCGGGTGTCCTCACCGGGACGCCAACCAGCGACCTTCTAGCTGTGAGGCCACGGTGCTAACCACTGATCCACCTGCAGCCCCAATAATTAACAGATGATTTATTTTTTCATTTTATAAGAAAAGAACGCGGTGACATGAAACGTCTCAACACAGAGCTGCTTCTGGGGATTTTCTGTCACTTTCCTACCATCAGCTTTCATGCCAGACGTATGTCCCTTTCTTTTGTAGTTCACTGAGCAGCTCAGTGTCCAGCCTTGCCAGTGCTCTTTGTTTTTTTTTAAAGATATTTTTTGGGCTTTTCCACCTTTAATGATAGTGACAGTGAAGAGTGACAGAGAAACGTGGGGAGGAGAGCGGGGGAATGACAAGCAGCAAATGAGCCGCTGGCTGGAATCGAACCGCTGCATCGGGACTAAAGCCCGTATACGAGGGGTCGGCCACCCTACCCGCCAAGCTGTCCAGGCACCTGCTCATTTGTTTTTTAAATGTGAAAAGCCGGAGACAATTGGCGGACGCCGATGGCATGTTAGTTGAATGGTGCAACATTTGCCTGCAGCCACCTGCGTTTCTGTTTCCAGCTCCCATGTGCTGGTATTCGAGTGATGCCAAGAGTGGCCAAAGCAGCAGGGTTACAGCGTCCTGCTCCAACGGCTAAGCTGTTACATCCACACAAAATGTCAGCAATAAATCACTGCAAAAGGGAGACTATGCGTATAGGGTAACGTCTCGTACAGTAAAATGAAGTATTCATTGGACACTTGAGCACATTCAGCTCATTACTGTGGATTGTCAGTGGCATTATTAAGCTGCTTTGGAAACCCTGATGTAACAGGAAAGACCTGAAAGAATAAAGATGAGAGAAGCAGAAAGGACGGTTCTATTATTTCATCTCACACCAGAGCTTATTAGAGCAGAAGAGGAAGACGTGGGAGAGGACGAGCACGCAAACAGACCTTGAGTTTCCTCCTGGCATTGAATTTCTTCAGGCACTCCACGGTCTCCTGTCTGTGCATCATAGACGCCACTGTGGATCGTTGCTGAGGAAAGAGAGAGCGTGGGAACAAATACAGGTTTAGGAAGAATCAAGAGGAACAGACTAGAAGAAATCAGTTGATTTGCAGTTTGCATCTGTTTGTAGAGTCATGAGATGTGTGACAACTGTGCTCGTCTTCTCAAGGAAGGGAAACTTACGCAGACCCATGGGTGTTTGAGGGCCTCCTGAGCAGTGATCCTCTTGGCTGGGTTGATGGTCAGCATCTGGTTGATGAGGTTTTTGGCCTCTGGGGTGACTGTGTCCCACTCTGGGGAAGGGAACTGGAGGAACAAATAAAAACCAAATCTCTTCACGTTCACTGAAACAAGACCCAAAGTCCTCAGAGAGGCGATTTAAATGTAATTAGCTGTGATGCTTTCTTTAAACTGTGACAGTCAGTGTGTTCATCTTGGGGCTTCACATGAGAAAAGCAATTTAACCCCGTCAGCGGGTTTGAGAGGCGTGCTGTAGCTTTAAAAAAAAAAGCACTAAAGTTTCACCATTGATCAGATGCAGATGCTGTGAAACCGAAACAATCAGCGGCCGTTGAACTGACCGTGCAGCTGCATTAGAAACCAAAGCCATGCTGGAAGACGGTCACTTTATTCTGCACACCTCCTTCAGTGTGACCATCTCAGAGCGTCAGCCTGATGAATGAGCACTTCCTGCTGTAACTGGGATCTAACGGGCGACTCGGCTGCAACACTCATGAGATGAATCTCGTTTCAGCTGAACTGGACCCGACGCAGGCTGTGTTCACAAACGGCACATGGAAAAGCCTGGAAACAACTCCGACGTGTACGAAGGGGAAGTATCTGTGGTAAGTCATTGCCTCTTCAAGAAGTAATTCATCTGTTTATGACCTACGAGCTCCCAACTGTTTCATGTAAACCATGTCTGAGGTCGCTCTACCATTAGCTGCGGTTGTGCCGTTTCCAGAGAGGTGCAGGGTTTAATACTGCCGAAAGAAATGGGCCCAGAGGGAGTAAACATGTGACAGAGCAAGAAACACCCAGAACCTGGACTTCATGGTCACGTGATACTGACTCCAAGAGCCCATCTAACTCTATGAACACACCATGTCCACTTATTACCTTTTCTGTGTGTGCTGTGCATGTAGGAGATCTAAGAGCTTGGCAGGAGAAAGCAGTGACTAAAACCCACATGTTCAGCAGCTATACCGACCCTAACTGAAAATCCAAATCTATCGGTATCTTACAACGTTTATCTTTCTGCTTTCAGGCGTTTACAACATTTAGGGTGTTGCAGCTTTAGGTAAGCTCCAGACGGCACATCCAGCTGTACCGCGGCTTTCCATCACGACGTTTACTTTGGACTGTTTTTCTTTGACTCTTGTGTCTTTGAACGTCCCCTGTAGCTGTTACTGCATGTCTTTGTTTTGAGTTTCATATTAAACACATAAAAGCGTAAATGATCTCTGCTGACACATTTTCAAATAAACTCAAATCCAGGGAATACATATTTAGTGTCTATATACACCATAATGGGTCATTTCTAATGTGACACTTGCTGTGCCTTGAACAGGAGACGTTCATATCGCTTATACCAAAGTCCCACATGTGAAAAATGGCAGATTAAATAAGCTTCATGTGTCAGCAACCTTTAAGTGAACACACGTCCAGAGACACAGGAAACAGGACCGTGGCCAGATAGGAACTGGGGATGTCGCAGGTACATGTGTCTTCAATATTTTAGCCACAGTGGCTCCCAGTGGGACTGTGTTCAGCAACACCAACAGCAATTTGTTAAGAAATCCTCAACCCATCAGGTCCTGTTGTGTTTGGGCACAAACCCTGAGGTCTGCGTCCACTGAACACAGAATCACTGCCAGAGAGTCAGGCCGCCTCTCGCTCTAGCTGGCATGGAGTTCAATGTGAGCTAAGGTGAGGCTCCCTCTCTTGCACCCCCTGAAATATGAATGAGGTGACGGAGTTACGTAACAGCTGCCAAAAAGGAACGAGGGCAGTGGGAGGAGAGGGGAGGGCCCTACAACGGCGAGCAGGAGACTCACATCATAAGCCCCAGCCTTGATCTGCTGGTACAGCTTGTGCTGGTCCTCGTCCCAGAAAGGAGGGTAACCCACCAGCAGGATGTAGAGGATCACCCCTGAGACGCACAAACAGTGACACAGAAAGCGCATTTTGTTAGAGAATCTGCTTCAGTGGGCTTTTTGTTTGTTAGTTTTTGTCGAGGAAACACTGAACGGTGTCCGTCGGTACAACTCACCGCAGGCCCAGATGTCCACTGGTTTGCCATATGCCTCCTTCCTCAGGACCTCAGGGGACAGGTACCCCGGTGTGCCAGCAAACCCTGCAGCAGAAACCCACACAGGTGACTGACATGCTCACGGCAACAGACTGCGTGGCCGCTATCAGCGGGTAAAGAAAGCGATGAGCTACTGGTGGTTTACAGTGAGCTGACTGAAGGACCGGCAACTGTCCTGCTGGAGGAAATGTCCCAGACACCACCACTGGTCCATGTGGGTCAGGGTGAGGCCACACATCGCTTTTAGTGATGACTGTTTTTGTACTTGGTTGCTTACATTTTTTTTTTCCAGTCCAGCGTTAGCGCACTAGCGCTGCAGTGTCCACGGTAACGAGGCGACCGGATGATCGATGTGCTCACATCCGACCAGACTCTCATCGGTCAGGCACTCGCAGGTTTTATTTCCAGACAGAGACAAGTGCTACCTTCGTAGCTTTCCAGGATCGATCCATTATTTCTGACAGCAGCAGCAGACTACCTGTGAACAGCCTCATATTTTCACAACTTTGAACTTTTCCAACCCAGTGGAGACGCCAGATTTACCACCATGTTTACTGAAGTCAGCTTCAAACGAACGTGTTCAAGGTGTCGCTGGCTGAACTTTGTTCCAACAGACGGTTGAGTGTGTTCTTATGTTGTATAGCACGACATTACATATTATTGTTATTATCATATAGACCAGCAACCAGCATGGTGGATCACCTCAGAATGGCCGACTAACTGTTCATGTTATGTTCCTGCACAGATTTTGCATCGCCAGTTAGCTGTTTTTGGAAATCATTAAGAGCTCTTACATGCTGGTTTGCAGCATAGTCATAGTACAAAAGAACTACATTAAAATGATTTAACATGCTGCAAATAGCAGCTTGTAAGTTTGTTTATGACTCATTAGGGCTAGAAACGCTAGCAGAGGTTTAGGCTAGCAGATGACGTGCAGATCTTCTTTCCTTCACGATCCATTGATTGGTTAAAGAGCAGCGCATTTCCTGTGACTGCAGCCCTGTCATTCCTCATTCCTCTTCCATCTGACAATGTTTTCCAGAAACACATTCAGAAGTCTAAACTGTGGGTGAACTGGCATAAAGATTGTAGTTTAATGGCGACTTAAAACCAGCAGAACTGTGACAATGAAAGCACATCAGCAGCATGTTTATGCAGCACTGATCCAGTTCGTCTGTCCTGAGCTCCTTGATCTTCTCTCTGTAGCATTTCTCTGAAATACCTGCACAACTGCAACGGTTACATGGAGTTCTGGTGTGGATGTGATAAAGTCCAGTATGTGCTGTACCTACCGAACCAGGCCTGCTGATCCCCCTGCACCTCAATAGCCAGGCCGAAGTCGGCCAGCTTCACTGCAGCGTTCTTACACTTGCTCGCCAGCAGCAGGTTCTCTGGCTGAGTGGGAGAAAGGAGAGGAACCGGTTACCACACACTCTGAAACATGAAGGCTGCTGCACAACATTTCAAGTGTCCTGATGGGGGGAGAGCTGGAGGTAAACAGCTACGCATGCAACAGTTTGTACAGAACACTGGTACTGACGCAGAGTTCAGCAGAAACACACACAACACAGATTCAAGCCGATGCTCTAATAACACAGAGGCTATGCAATAACAGTTAGCCCGTTTCTCAGCAGAGTTAAAGCCAGTCAGTCCGCGGTGCTGTTTGTCCGAGCCTCATGCGATGAGCTGTGGCTCTATAGGCTTCCTCTCTGTGGCCCAGATAACGCAGCCAGCCTCATTATTCCCTGTCAGAGGAGGGCTCTAATAATGGGCTGCTATCCCCACTGGCCCCGCTCCTTCTCACTTTCTCTCCATCTCACTTCACTGCTGCCTCTGCAAACGCAACTGGCAACCCTGAGCGACAAATCAAGCCTCGGGTGGGAAATATGAACAGAAAATACAGAACATTTTTTCCCATTGATGTCCACTGTATTCATGGACAATCACACGTACATGAGCAGCACGACTCCTTAGCGTGTGGGAGGCCAAACGAACAGTGTGACCCGTTTATCTGCCCGGCTGGACGGCGTTATTTCAGCCCAGACTGGCAGACTTGATGAAACAAGGTTCTCCCTCCAACCCGTCCACTGAATTCCAGCATCACAATAGATAAAGTGCAATGTGTTGGTTCTGCCTGTTTCAGGTGTGAAGCTCTTTATGCCTTGAGAGCAGGTCCGACTCTGAGGCAGGGTTAGGGTCAGGGTCAGGCTGGTATCACTGAAAACCCCAGCCTGGTTATCATCTGCAGTCCTGGTCTACGCTTGGTGCTCGCTGCAGTTTGAGCTACGCTGATTCTGACGGTGTCGAGAGGAACGCCTGCGTGTCAAGCGCTTGTCAGATGTTTCTGTCGAAGACTCAATAGTTTTGTACGAACAGCTTCTTTTAGCTGAGCATAGCAACTGGCTGCTGTTCCCTTCCTGCAGGAATGACAGCTAAACACTGGATACTGAGATCTACATCAGAGGTTCTCAACTGGTGGGTCGCGACCCAAAAGTGGGTCACGGACCTGTTCTGGGTGGGTCGCAGACAGCTGGTCAAAAATAAATAACATATAATGTGCGTCTCAGGTTGGACTTATTTTTTATTTTGAAAAAACTTTTATTTTGACAGGCACGGTAACCATAGTTTGTTTGACGTTCATTTCAAGTTCGTTTTGATGTTGGGATGCAAGATGGCAAAACGCAAAAATGACCCGGAGTATTTAAAATGTGGATTTTCGTACTAGGGCTGGACCTGAATAGCCATCTATTGGTTCACTGTGCTGGACTCGGGATGTCAATCTTCCCACTGCCGCCACCGCCAATACAGCACTGTGACCGTCGGCCGGACCGAATACATTACAACCACTGACTGGCTCCTTGGGTATCAACGTGGAAAACATCTCGTTGCCAAGCAACGAAGAGCATCAGCTGCTGGAGCTGTCATGTGATCAGACGCTGAGAAAGAGATGTGGGGAGGTCAGCCTTTCCCTCTTCTGGTGCAGCGATGTGATGGCTGAGCATCCACCCCTCACCACTCCTGCAGGTAAAACAATCTTAGCATTCACCTGTTGCTGTGACAGTAGCTTCTCTACCCTGGTCCAGCTCAGGTCACAGCAGAGGAACAGGTTGGACACTGAGCAGGATCTGAGAGCAGCTCTGTCTGCTGTCAGCCCAGACTCTGGACCTGTGATCAGGAGTAGAGCACGAGCCCAACTGTCTCATTAACTTCAACACATGACCTGATGAGGCCAAAACTTTGTTTTAGAGTAGTTCTGATATTTATTTTATTCACTTTTGTACATGCAGCGGTCATGGTCCAGTTACTGTGCATGGTAACAAGCTCTGAAATGCATGTTGCACAGCAAAATATATTGAATTCTAAAAAAGTGGGTGGTGACTTAATGACCACGGGAAAATGTGGGTCCCAGGGTGAGACCAGTTGAGAAGCCCTGCTCTACATAATAACACCAGCACCACATTTCTCAGGAATTTGGAATCCCGCTGTGTGCTGATACTTGTATGCAGTTTTCTCCTGATTTTGAGCTTCTTTAATGACCTAGCGTAGTTGTTTCCTAACCCCAACCCTTCCACAGTGAACTGCAGCACTAGTCCAAAGTGGAAGCATGAAGACAACGAGGACATTATATTTAGGCTGCATGTGTGTCCCAGCCTCCCCTGCCCTGCAGCAGCATGAGTCTTTGCATCCTCTGCCTTCCTCTCTCTGCTCTCTGGCCTCTGCTAGTTTGTGTATTTAATGCACGGATACTTTTAAGTGTGCTTTAACAGCCTTTGAGCCAGTAAGTACAAGACAAGGAAATGAGCAAGAGAGTGAGTGAGTGAGCGACCCAGTAATCCGGAGCCTTCCTCGTGTCATCACATCCTCCCGGCTCTACCGCTTGGTGAGGTTTTACTCCTTTGTAAACGGGGGAGTCAGAACTTGCCAACGCTGCAGCAGTAAGATAATCCGTGAAAACGGATGTGGGAGGAATTTATGATGAGGCATCCGTTTCCATCAAAAGGAGCGTACATGCAATGCAATGCAAAATACCAAACCGGCCACACGTTCAAACAGCAGCGCTCACCATCTCTGTCTGACGTGATCGCACCTTCTCGTTCCACCTTTATGTCACACTCACACACTTAGACATGAACACAGAGCTGAGGACACTGAGGACTGAGGAGGGCAGAGCGACGTGCACTGATGAGAAGAAGCTGCGTTCGAGGTCACGAGTGGGTGTTTCAAATGGAATGGTTCCAAGCTTCTCTACTCGCTCTCATTCTTGGTCTGTGGGGGATCTGGAGATGTTTCATCCGTGACTTCACAGGAAGTGGCGGAGATGTGGACCTCCATAAGACGCTGTTCCATGTGAAGCAGGTTGTGGAACAGAAACTGTCCTCAAGTCATTTCTTACATAAATGGTGTTGAAGAAATTACTCTGTGTTCCCATAAAGGTCGAGATCATTGTAGTTTCTTGATAACGTTTCAAACGAGGTACAAATTCGGTTTAGCTTCTATTCATCGTTGTTCCTTCTAACTCTTTAAACCCCAAACCTGCCAAAATTACCGAGTCAGAAGCTGCATAAACAGAACAAATCGACTTTCCAAACGTCCGTAAACTACTCATCTGTGGCGCCGTTCTGGTGCGAAACGGAACCGAATCTGTGCTCGAAACTGTAATATTTGCTCTGTATCACTTCATTCTGCATGTCTCACTTAAAACTTCACCAAAAACAAAGCGTTTGCACCAGATTCTGTACAGAACGACAAAAATTCTGCACCAAGCCGTTCGTGGCCGACAGCCGAGACAACAATTCAGGGACTTTTCAGCTGAACTGGGCTGAACTGCAGGCTGTGACTACACGGAACAGACAGGAAATTATAAATGCTAAAGTAGTGCTGAAAGCAGTGAAGCACCGACATTATTGAGGGTCACCGTTATTTCCAGTGTTGGTGACTCCTGAGAGCACTTGGAAAAATGTGTGGTTGATTCCAGATTTTTAACAAGTTTTGTAAAACAGAAATTCAGCTTTTGTTCGTTGTTTCTTTGTGCTTTATGGCATTATGACGTGATTCTGCTGCACAAAACCCATTTTTGACTCCTGTCTCGCTCTAGCCAGTCGGGTTGGGGATAGTCTCTACAGAGAGCAGGAAAAAATGAACCCACGGTGGAAAAGTGTGACTGGGCAAGAAAACAGGCAGAAGCTGGGATTCAGATGGATAAGAAAGAAAATGAAAAATAATCATAAGAAAACAGATCCAAAGCGACTGCTGCTGTCTGTCCATCAGCACCATGGATGTATTTCACTAATCCCAGCAACACTCTTAGCAACCGCGGAATCAAGCCACCCTCATGTGCCTAACCCAAACCCTCCAGTGTCTAACCCTAACCCTCCGATGTCTAACTCTAACCCTAACCCTCCGGTGTCGAACCCAAACCCTCCGGTGTCTAACCCTAACCCTCCGATGTCTAACTCTAACCCTAACCCTCCGGTGTCGAACCCAAATCCTCCGGTGTCTAACCCTAACCCAAACCCTCCGGTGTCTAACTCTAACCCTAACCCTCCAGTGTCAAACCCTAACCCTCCGGTCTCAAACCCAAACCCTCCAGTGTCTAACTCTAACTCTAACCCTCCGGTGTCTAACCCTAACCCTCCGATGTCTAACCCTAACCCAAACCCTCCGGTGTCTAACCCTAACCCTCCAGTGTCAAACCCTAACCCTCCGGTGTCAAACCCAAATCCTCCAGTGTCTAACTCTAACTCTAACCCTCCGATGTCTAACTCTAACCCTAACCCTCCGGTGTCTAACCCTAACCCTCCGATGTCTAAAGTGAATTAGTCATGAATCTCTCTTGCATTAATTAATTATACGTCACCATAGCCTAACTGTACGCAGGATCCAAGCTGACGAACAACAGAAGTGCAGAACACCAGCATCCTGTCAATATTCCAGACAGCCCCACAAATCTCACAAAGCATGTTTTCAGAAGAGCTCGCGTGGTCCTGGCTCCCTGCTGGATCTCTGGTAAACAGCGAGGAGATGACCTTCAGCTCGTTATCGTGAGCTGAAGACAATGAGGCAAACGGACTTATTATCACAAGAAAATGGACTCTGTTGTGTCGGCAGAAGACGGCATTAAAACAGGTTCAATACTTCTGACGGGCAGTCCCAACTACAGGACTGTGTTTTGCCATTTTAACTATTTCAATGACATATTCTTACTTGTGTCATGGAGAAGCAGCACACGTTTCATTTCTGAGATGACAGAAACACCACTAGCATCTGCTGCACAGTCTGTCCATAGAGGCTGTTGGTTGGCACACATAGGAGTCCTCTCATTTGCCATATCCCAACTCCTAATTCGAGGGATCTTGTCACTCGGGCTGTCCTCCGTCATCACACTATGACCTATTGCATGAAACGCTCTCCATTGCTTGGGTGTGAAACCAGATAGGTGTGTCAGCTAAATAAAGAAATAGCCACAACAGTTCTGATAAACACAACACGCCTCTGCCGGAATGCTGCGACTGACATTTGCATAGAGGTCCAGTCAACAGAGTGCATCATGCAAAACAGGCATGCACACACAACAACACTAGCGGTCCAACAAACAGCAACAAAGGGACTGAAACAGCCAGACTTCTATCTGCCACGACGCTCACACACAGAGAACAGAGAAGGCTTGAGCTCATCAAATATCCTCGAGAGCACTGAGAGCAACACAGCATGCAGTCCATCCAGAGCTCTAGAAAACTCTAAAAGAGCTACATCAGCCCACAGGAACAAGTCTCACAGCATTACTAGTTAATTAACGTCCCTTTACACAAAATGAGCTGCCATGTATGGGTCATTAACTAATCTATGAAGGCAATCTAAAGCACACTCAGTGTCTGATAATCAGTAGATAGCAGTAGATGGAGCCCTGATCAGACTAAGTGTTCTCCTAACCCTGATCAGACTGTGTTCTCCTAACCCTAACCCTGATCAGACTGTGCTCTCCTAACCCTAACCCTCAACTGACAAAGACGAGCCGTACAGTGTCAGCATCCTGTTTCGTTAAAGCACTGATCAGCTGGCATGGCCTCCACACAGGTAAAGGTGGTTTCACACAGCAACAGGGCAGAGAGCTGCAGAGGCAGCAGAGCAGAGCTGACGGCGTCCCGGTGACGGCCACAGAGCAGGAGCTGAACAGCCTCCTCGCTGTACGACTGACCACAGCAGTGACTCAGCAGGACAGAAACCAGGAGGAACCGGATCATTCAGAACATTAGTCCTGATACTTAGCAAGTGACGTTACGTCCACAAACATGACACACAGGTTAGCATGAACTAATCAGACACACACAGACCGCACAGTTAACACTCACAACCCCCCCCCCCACTACACAAACATATAGTGTAACTCTCAAGGGGCAGCAGGGTGACCCCCATCACTCACCTTCAGGTCCCGGTGCACCACGCCCATTTGATGGCAGTGAAGCACCGCCTCCAGGATCTGCTGGATGCAATGACTGCATGCAAACACCAAGGGGGGCGCATGTTAGTCTTAGCAGCGTAACAATCCCGTGCACAGGCCGAGGGCGTGGGGAGGGAGGGGAGGGAGGTATGAGGGTGGGACAGGGGTTGGAAGGGCTCTTCTGTTGCCAAGCATCACACTGGGACCTTTTTACTTTACTTTTTGTTTTGCTTTGGCTGACCCACAGCTAAGCACACATCCAGGGTGGTGAAAATGAAGCCAGCAGGGTTTGCTTCACCCCCTGAAGCTACAAAACCGTGTGGTGGGAAAACACACAATTAACGGGAGCTGGAAGCTGTTAAAACAAAAACGATCCTCAGTCTTTAGACTGATCAAGTTAAAAATGGTCAGTATTCTACATGTCTCATTTAAAATGAATAACTAGCTCTAACGCTGTGCTCCGTGGAACAAGCATGAAGGACCAGTGACTCAGCTGTGAGCAAGTCACAGGAGAAAACTCCTGAACTTCTCGGCTGAACTGCAGCTTGTGTTTCCATGGAGCAGAGAGGAGACGTGTCCGTAGGGAAACAGCTATCAAAGAAATGAAACGTCATGTTCTTATTCACAGCATTGTAACTGTATCAATGCACAGGAGACATGTTTGGTTCTCTGGACTTCCAGCCATGGTCCTGCTGTTCTAGTAGAGGTGCAGACTTCATAATGTCATAATCAATGAGTCCACAGTGTGTGAACAGGTAACCAGGACACTGTTTGAGGTTCAGAGGGTTAAATCACTTGGAGCTTTGGAGCCCTAATGTGAAGCCCTTTGGCACAAACGTTCTTTACACGAACAGCAAAACCACAGGACACACATGGGCTGTACGACTGGGTTTGCTGATCTGCGCTGAGCTTCTCACTTAAACGGGGACCTCAGCTTCAAACGGGTCCTGTGGCTGCGAGCAAACACCCTCCAGCACAGCAGATGTCATTGATGACCTTCATTAGTAGAGTTTTGTGGGGCCGGCTGTACTGGACTCTGGTGGCCTGGAGGGGCATAGCTGTAGGCGCTCTGCAACAGAAGACTCCTTGGAGTCTAGCTAACCTGCAATGAACCGGTGGACATGATCTTCGTCTCTGATACTCTATTCTGTGTAGATGATGGTGTATCATCAAGGCACACGTTTTACTGCTGCTGGCTGAAGGTGGCGTCCACCTCCCTCCGTGTTTCAGCCAGCAGGCCTTGGGCGATGAAAGAGGGCTGTGAGAATATGGCTGGCCGAGGGAGGCACAGAAGCGCTGATGAAGGAGGTAAGGGAAGGAGTGAGTCATTGTGCAATTAATAACATTTAAAGGATGTGTCTGGGATCAATGCCATGTCTACTGCCAGTCTCGCTGGCCTCTGCTGACAAGCGGCGTCGTTCTGATGTCAGGAAGCCACCGGACACTAAAAATAAAACCCCAAAAGCCAAAAACTGTGCGAGGGACACTGAGACTAGATGACATATACACACTACATACAACACGTATGTAGGTGTGTGTTCAGGGCCGTGTTCGTTGTCTGGGTCCGGCTGGTAGACTGAACTAATGCAGAGCTGCATTAACACACACACAGCTGTGATTGTGTCATTGTGTGTGGGCCAAAGATGTGTGCATGTGCTTCCTGTGCACTGACAACCTTGTTTTTTTTTGTCACCACCGTGGGTTTTCTGCCACCTTCACGCTCTGCGCCGAAGCTCAAAGACTGCCACATTTCTTGTTTGCAGCCTTGAAGTTTGCATTATTTACGTGTTCTAAAATCCTTACATGGACGCGTGTGAGACACTCAGCTGTAAACAGGGTCCGTTTGGAGTCTGCAAGATATCTGGACGTGACAGAAACAAGAAAGAAGGAGCGACGGGCAGCGAGGACCGGAGACAGAGTGACAGCGGGAGAGAGAAGACGGACTGGCATGGCTGCTAAGCTCAGGGCAATAAATTCAAACCTGTGTCTTGTTTCTAAAGGTCTCCCAGTGAATAAATACTGGGCAGGTCACGTCCACAGAGCGCCGGTGTGTGCATGCGGAGCGACCACTAAAAGACAACACCAGCATGTGGCTGCATGCGTCTGTAAATGTGCGGTCAAGGCTGAAGCAGCTTCTATCTATGAGAAGCGTGGCCCTCATTCACACACAATGTGTTTCTGTGTGCAGGTATGCAGGCGGTTCAGAGAGTGTGCTTGTCCTGGTACCAGCACCGCTGGACTCTGTTTGTGTGCACTCGATCAGAGGAGATCAACTCTAATGTTCTTGAGCTAGCCGTCAGGTCTGGGTGGTCATGCCGTGGACAGCTGCTGTACGATCAGAACCAGTTTGTGGTTTTCTGACAATCTTGTATTGGGGCATTCGAGCTGGGATTTCAGAGGAACCCTAAAATCCAATCATTGAGGGTGGACATTGCATTTCATTTAGAGAGCTCAGTCGCTGCTGGTCGTGTCCCGACCTGCAGGCCGGCCCGATCACTTCCGAGCGTCATTCAGCTGCCTCTTCAGTGAGTCTCTCACCCCGGAGACAGACTCCAGCTCACCGGCTTGGACCGCGGCTGATGACAGCAGTCCTCGTTCTACAGTCTGCTTGTGATGAGACAACCGACTGCAGTCACCAGCTGCAGTCCAAGATGGCGGCGTTGGAGTGGGTCCATCCAGAGGCTCACTGGAGAGGCAGCTGAAACCGCAACCGCCACAACGGACATGTGAACATCTACTAGAGAGACTGGGCATGTACTGCAGATATCGGCATTTCTACATCATGTTTCCAGACAGATGACGTCACTTTTACCACTTGTGTGTATGGGCCTTCCTTTTTAGATATCTACAGCTTAATTTGGACTAATGCAGATACTCAGAAAAATGTGGAATAAAAATCAGTCAAACCCTTGAAGAAGGTATAAACCTACTGATGAGCAAGGATAGCGCACTGATTCCTAGGAGGTGCCACGACTGTCTGAGCACGAGTTACCTCAGATACCAACAGGCCTGCCAGGACAGCGTTTGGAAACGGTGACCTGAATATGATCGTGGTTACAACCATCACACAGCAGGTGGTTTGTCAAAGGAAAAGCAGTTTAATCATAAAAATCACACTTCACTATTTATCATTGAGTTTGATTGACATCGGGGGGCGGGGGGTTTAGAGGTCTGTGATTGTTATTAATAGTGTTTTATTGTCATGTCTGAGTCGGATCTCATCTGTACAGAAACCAGCGGCTCAAGAGATCAAATGTTTAAAAATCTTCATGAACAGCACACATGCGGCGTCACACTTGTTTGGCTGTTTGCCTCCTGCAGCTCAACATCTTCAACGTCTCCATAAAGACACGTCTGGTATCGGCTGGGGCTGTCGTGAAAACACCGGGATCAATACAAGAAAAATAAACGATTGAAAGCTGGAGAAAATGGAGGAGGGAAGAAAAGACAATCAATAGAGAACACAGTAAATGTAGCTGTGGATCTTATCGAACGAGGCTGGTGGGAGAAGCGGCCATCTGTAAACACTGGGCATCTATTAGACGGGCTGAAAGCTGCAGGTGGCCGCCTGCGCATCTGTACAAGCTCATTGGCTGATTGATCAGGCTGTCAGTGCAACAGGAGCGCTTGGTGTGAACTCGCTCGTACAATGGTTGAAGAGAGGGAGGGAGGGAGGGAGGGAGGGTGAGGCAGGCCAGGGTCCTCCGATTACAAAATAAAGTTCAATACGATCAGAAGGCAACAAGTGAACATAAGAGCAAACCAAGACACGAGTCGGACAGGCGGACACGAGACCAGCGACTGACAGGAAACGACACCAACAGACGAGATCGAGGAGGGAGGAAAGGAAGGAACGGAGGAAGGAAAGGAGGCAAGCAAAGGTCATGGGGACGGAGGAGGTTAGGAGGAGGGTGGGGGATGCAGATGCTCCTCTACATATACTAACCTTCAGGTCCCTGTGCACTATGTCATGTTGGTGAATGTGATGGACACTTTCTAGAATCTGATGGATACAGTGACTGTGAAGACAAAACAGAGAGAGGAGGGACGGTGGGGTGGAGGAGGCGAGCGGAAGGAGGGATGGAGATGGAGGGGGTTGGAGAAATGGGACAGGGGAGTGAAGGAGAAGAAGGGAGGATGCCAGATGAATGGGAAAGGCCAACAGGACGACATTGGAGATGATAAAAAGGGCAGGTCCAGGAGGTGACAGAGATGCCAGAGGAAAGGAGGAGGAGGAGGAGAGGTCAGATAATAGGAGAGGAGAGAGAAAGAGAGAGATGATGTAGATGTTGGAAAGGAGAGGGATGGGTGGGTGAACGCAGGAGGAGGAGGAGGAGGAGGAGGAGACAAAAACACGTTTTGTTTTGTTTTTTGAAACATGATGAGAGACAAGAGAAGCCACAGCAGAACATCCTGCCAGACAAAACACATCACGAGGAGGAGAGGAGAGGAGGAGAGGAGAGGAGAG